GGGGGTTGGAATTGAAATATTGAGCTCAACTGTATCAGACGGATATCTTGCATTCCTAGGGTTCAAAAAGTATCTAATAATATGAACCAACATTTCCAGAAAAAATTCTACCAAAAAGTAGCATCTGATATCCAATCAATGCAAAATGATGGAAGAAATAAACAAACAAGGGATCTTTTCTACAGGATTTCAAACTGCTACCTTCGACAGCCATGTCCTGTCAATAGCAAATACTCAAGCAAGAAAATATAACAATCTTGAACAATTCTACAGTTAGGACATCGACCATAGGCCTCATAAATCAGAGAATCTATAAACTGAAACATATATTTTATTTAGAATGTATAATTCACCACAAGATAGATTTTCACGACCACGAATGTGTAACCACATTACCAATTAATTGATGCAGCTTCTCACGGGTAGATTCTGTTATTGGTAATTCCAATGTAACCTGTACAAATCAGAAGAATATAACTAGAAATGAGAAAGGTTAATTGACTAAACGCAAAATCCCCTAACATAGATTTCTTCTTATACAAAGTTGACTTGGGTAGTTCAGCCATCTTAGTACAGATTATCAACGATCCCTTTTACTAAATTTTGGTGCAATAAGCAATAAAAGAGGACATAATATAACTGACAACATCAAGCTGTCGAAAACAGTTTACTGGATGGAATCCACTGCTATATTTTTTAATGGGTTCATAAAGTGGTTCAGGGCTTCTCTTCAGCAGTTTGAGAAGGGAAACAATTTGAAAAGTAAACAAAACAAACTATACAAATCTAACTCACAAGCAAAGCTAAAATACCAACCCTCTAAGTCCTCTTAGAATGAAAGATTCGTCTTCTTGAGGATTAATTGCAGGACTTCAAACAAACTCTAATTCATTTATTTATTTGATGTAGTGGTGATATGAAAGGTGATGTAAGCTCACCTCTTTGAAGATCTCACTGTAAGAAATCTTCTGAAAGCCCTACGGAAGCATATGAAGTGTATAGTTAAGCTTTAATATTCAAATTAAATCATGAGGAATCAAAGAGGCACGCATGTTCTTTATGCCAAAAATAAGAAACAAAGGAAAAAATGAAGATAAGTTCACAGCAAAATGGTATGAACCTGTTAAATTAGATCAAAGAAATGTTCATTCTGCAGATATGTATAACATAGGGACACCGGACACCTATGTTCCTAAGTGTGTCTGTGAGTGTGTAAGCCTCCTCATGCATCCCTATGTGTATCTATTATGTCCACATGAGACCTTAAATAAGAATTTGTGTGCATTTGTAACTGTGAGAGAGAGAGAGAGAGAGAGAGAGAGAGACCCACCAATTTGTGGAATAGATTAAGAGAAGCTTTGTTTGATTCCCCAATTTTAGCATGAAAAGCATGGATGCCAAAATTCTCAACTGCAAATTCCATCATCATCAGAACTGATTCCTGAGCAAGTCCTTTGCCACGACTATGCAAGCCAAGTGTCACAAAAAGATATGAGTGAGGAAAATTGTTAAGAGCAATGACTAACAAAGTACAATCGAACAGTATAAACTGTAAAAAAAAAAAAGATGGAAAACACATCCACATACATTAGAGTACCCTTAGAGTTTTAGAGCTACTAAGTACTACCACTGATAATAATGAGAACTATAAGCTCTTTGATTAGTGATTTGAGACAAAACAGAGAGCATTGTCATAATGAAGCAGAAAGACGACTGAGTTATGATGCTAATCGGAAAAAATACTTGAACTGCATTTATTCGACATGTTCAAGAGATGATTAGATGTATTAGTAAGTTGGGGTGAGAAATGATGTTCAAGAGAAACTAAAGAGCAACCATTTTATTTTACACCTTGATTACTTGATAGATAAGTACCATGGAGATGATTCTATTGGTGGAAGTTTCAGAGATAAAGGTGAGTCCATATACCAACCCCGAGACAAAGAATGCAGTATGGCTTCGCTGAGTTGAGTTGACTCCAAATTTATTGGGCATAAGGCCTAGTTTCATGTAATTGTTGTTGTTAGGATGGCCTATAAATCTGGCACAACTTCCTGGAAATTCTAGCTGTCAAATTTTTGTGAAACTTATAATTCATCTGGTCCAAAAATTTCTTTATTATCATATTTCTAGTGATTTGAGAAATTACATTGGGATGAGGTAAATAACTACGTAACAGTAACAATTGAAGTTAGAAGATGAAATTCACTGTGATATTCTAAGTTACAAATGAGAGATTTATTTTTCTTTTTGAGAGAACAATTTATTGTGTGCCATGAATTTTAGCTGCACCATTTCCTGTGAATTCCATTCCTAATAATTGAAGCCAATGGAATTTTCTAAAAGAATTTAAAGAACGAATATCAATATTTGGAAGGGAAATACCTTTTCAGTTCAGCAATCATTATTTCAATCTCTGCCATTTGGGGATCATCCAAGCCATTCATATATATATTCACATCACCAACCATGGCTGAAAAGGAAAATTACAAATAAGAATGGCATAGGACAGGGTAGTTGAACCAAAAGCAGAAAATCTTTCTCTTCAACCATTTTTTTTTATCAATTTTATATTTAAAATAGTAAAAAGCCAAATTATATGTTTTCAACCCAAAGTCGTTACAGCTTGACAGCTTGAACCGTGAAGAAAATATATGAAATGACGCTATATATGAAATAAGGATAAAATAAGATAATGCCCTTCAATATGAGGATTTCCAGGAATGTAGTCTCCAGCTACCAATTCTTTGTCCAATACTATGAAGGTCTGCTCTGCAAAAACAGAAGCCAACTCCAACAAATCATCTTCATTCTTTTCTCTGATTTTACATAAAATTAAGACAACCTGTAGTATAAATTAAATTGAAACCCTCCAAATTTATTAACTAATGATAATTATTCAAAGACTGAGGTATTATTATGCATACTGAGGGAGTCTTGAGTCCAGGAGACTTGCATGTCATATTCTTGTTCGAGTGTGAGGGGCTCGGAAGCGGTGGCTTCGAGGATGGCAGGGTCTTGCATCCAATCATGGTATTTAGGCACGTGCTCCCTCATGTAAGGTACCAGTATCACCTTTTCTCCTTCCACGCTCGCCTTCATTCTATCTTTACCTCTCTATACCTGCATAAGATTTATACCAACTTAATTTCAGAATTCACATCAAACACTTGAGCTACTTGAAATACATCTCGAATAAATACACATTTAGCAGATTGATCGAAACGCCAAAAGGGGTTGAAAAAGTTGAGAAGCAATGTTAATTTTCTTTGAGGAACAATGCTATGTGTACAATGATAGTGTTGTAAGTGTTGTCAACCACTAATCATTGTACAAGTAGCTATTTTGCTCAAACAATTACGTCCTTCGTATTATATAATTTAATATTTTTAGGGTCCAAAAATTTTAACATTTTTATTTATTCTTCAAATGCTCAATTACTATTTTATTTTTTAATTAATTATTTTTTCTTTTCCATTTATTTATCCCTTCATAAATTAACATTATGATCATTTTCACTTTCTATTAAGTATTTGTTTGTTTGGCATTAAATCTCGATTGTATACAAATTCTGACGGTTAGCAGCCTACCATTTTTTATCATTGTCTCACTGCGTGGGACCCACTATTTGAAAATAACAATTGAATTTCTCATTTTGTCAAGAGAATAATGCACAACATACAGACTCTAAATTTTTTTCATTTGCGTTTATACAAAATATTTTTTATTAATTATATCTATATTTTCTTTTCTTCCATAATGCTTTCTCACATAAAAGAGAAAAATCGTGTACAATAGATCCATTTCTTAACGTTACAAAGCTACCAAACGTAGAATAGATAAAGAATATAATTTTTAGCTAAAAATAACAATCAATATAAAAAATTATTCTAATTAATTGTTTCATTTTTATTCATTGAATAAGAAATATTAATTAGAAGATAACAATTGCGATTTTTTTTTCCAATGCTAAATGAGTCAAATAAAGTGTTTTTTTTATATGTTTTGTATTTTATTAACTTAGTAGGGTTATTTTTCGTTGTTTTGACTTTGATGTTAGAGTTTAGGGAAAAAAGATAACAAATTTATAAATTTCACACACACACACAAAAAAAAANCGTTATGCAGATGTAAAATGTGAATTTATAAAATATGGTACGCAATATGTAATGACACACTGCATATATAAATATGGTGTATTTTGCTTTGAAATTATAAATACGTAGAAATAAGTTGTAAATAAGTGAATTGATCGAAATATGTGTTTAAAAGGTAGATTATAAAGTGTTTATAATATAAACACAAGCAAAACAAAATTCATGTTTTATCATGGGCTGGTTGAAGTAGGAATCATACATCATTGTAGATTGTTTAATGAATAAAAAATTATTGGTATTTTCCAACTATTAAATTTTCGGTATAAGATATTTCAAATTAATCGGACCCAAATTTTCAGTATACGTATACGAATACGAATCAATGAGTTTTTCATACCTAATTTTCTGAAATGTAGAATTAACATAAATTAAAAGGTTAATCGTGTTCGAAATCAACGAGGTTTCGATTTCATATTTTAACTCGCTTCATGGTAATTAGAGGTGAGCACGATTTGATTTTGGAGGTACTTGTTATTAAATGTTTTTTTTTTTTTTAAATCATACCGTACCAAATCAAAACAAACTTTTATTTTTTCAGTTGGGTTCTTATTTTAAATCACTTTATACCTGTCGACATGGTAGTAACACATTTAAAACAAGTTAAAACATAGGTAGATTGGTCTAAAATCCTCAACACAAGTTTGATGTCCGATTGTGGTACTTTGAGAAAGATTTAAAGGCATATTTAAAAAGAAAAGAAAGAATACTAGTAATGCATTTGAGAGAGGTGGAAAAAAAAGGTTAAATTTCTATTGGTCACAAAACTTATGGAACTATTTTCATTTTATTAACGCTTCACCATGTCCACCGAACTTCTTTTCACCCTTTTTCACTAATTTTAAAAGGACTAAAACGGTAACTTTACATTATATATGTAAAATAAATTTTAAAAAAACAAAAATAAAAAAAACTTATTTCAAAAATAAAATTAAATAAAAACTTATTTTAAAAAAAAGTTTACTTCAAAAATAAAATAAAAATTTATTTAAAAAAAAAGTTACTTAGAGAAATAAAATAAAATAAAAAGTTATTTTAAGAAAAACGTTCCTTAGAGATATAAAATAAAATAAAAACTTATTTTAGAAAAATGTTTATAAAATAAATTTTTTTTATTTTTTTAAAATTCATTTTATATATAATGCAAATTTACCATTTTACCCCTTTTAAAATTAGTGAAAATGGTTAAAAGAAGTTGAGTTGTTATGGTAAAACATTATATGAAATTGATTGGTTATAGTGAATAAAATCAAATTAGATGACCAAAGTAACATTTAAGTATAAAGGTGGGTGGTCACAGTGAAACAAAATCAAATTAAGCGGCCACAGTGACACTACGCATAAAGTTGGGCCGCTATGGGTGGATTTAACCCTTTCTGAAATAGTATTTTTTGAAAAATGTGGAATTAAAATGAAGGAAACGTTTTTAATTTACGTGTAATATTATTTTATTGAAAAATGTGTGATTAAAAAGAAGAGAGAAAAATTGTATTATAAATTTAATGGGACCCAAACAGAGATTAATGATTTCGAAGGCGTGATAAGCATCGTAAACTTTTCAAACTATCTAGAGTGACGAATGAAAAATAACGTTAAAAATATAAATCCTCAAAAACAACTTTGAAAGTACAGTGACTATTCAGGAAAAAAAAAATTTAGTCACTTTCGAAAAGAATTTAAAGATCAATGATGTTTGTAAAACAACATTGAAAGTACAGTGGTCATGGAGATTTTTAACCCGATGATAAATGCTCATAAAATCATTAACAAGAACCATCGAAAATAAGACATCAATAACCAACATAATTATCAAACATCATTGAATCTTTAAACATCCAAATAAATTATGATAATGAGAATTGTGACAACTTATTCAGGGGATCCTAGAAGGTAACCACTGAAACAAAAACCTCATTCAAACGAACCAGAACAATAATGCAACTTGTAACTTTTTAGAGTCACTTCACTTCACTACAGCATAACATAAGATTTAAAACCTCTAACAACAAAAGTTAAATGACCTGTCCTTTTTTCCTTTTTTCTTTTTTCTGTATCGCCGCTCACCAGAGCTGCATGATACTTTTTTTTTACCTATATGCCGCGATATAAATTGTACATCTCACTCAAAAGACAAAAATGAAACACTAAACATGATAACAGACTCAAAACTCAAAATACTTCTAAAAAACAAAATCCTCGAGACTTCTATCTCTAAACTTCATCCTTCAAACAGGTATTGTCACTCCAGTTAGCTCTAGCAAAGATAACCAATTCATTAACTTTTCAACTCAAAATGAAAAAGCAAGTATGCAAAATTCACACTTCAGCTGCTACACAAACTTTGATCTACTTTAACATCCTTCCTAGCCAGCAATATCTGCATTAAGTCAAAAAATAAGAATGTCAGAAGTTGACAAATAACAGTTAGCAAAATTTACAAAATTGAATTGTCACGAGAAGATCAATATATATTGATTCGACCATTAATATCTTGACGAAAGGAACGCATCAAAAAATGTCTCATGGGGGGATTCTTTCGAGGTATTTTTTTTCACAGCACGTAAAGAAACCTATTAAATCAAAAGAGATCAATAAAAGCAGCTTAAACTCCAGCCTGTTTTTTTTAAATGTTTAGGCCAAACATTTTGTATTATTCAGGTCCCAAACAGCATTTTGAGGTAAACCCAGTGGAGGTGGGGGAGATATGAAACCGCATTTAGAGGTTGCAAACAGTCATAATTGAGTTTTAAATATGTGGGTTGGGGAGATACGGAACTCCTTAACTCGTGCCTTCACCTTTTGAAAAATTGTCGTGGATAAATGATTTCATAAAGGTTGATCGTGAGTAAATTATTGGATAAGACAAATCATGCGTACAAGTATTTAAAAATTTATATAATACATACACTTGTCAGAATAGCAATAACACGCTTATGGTCATTCAGATTCCAATACCATGCACACCTGTCCTTTATGTGCTTAATCATATTCGATGAGCAACAAGCTAAGCCATGGAATATTTATAAGATAAACGGATCATTTAAATGCAAATCAACATATATTCAATTCCCTGAGCACTCTTTCATAAAATAATTGACAGTTCAAACATATAAAGTCAAACTGACAGTTGAACACTAGCAGATATCTACATCTAAGAATAAAGAGCGGTCCAGCTTTGATAAATTGGAATCCTACCACATTTAGTCAAATAAAAATATCTTTACTATTGTTAATTAACTTATCCTGTCAAATATAAGACATGTAGACCATACTTCATTTCTCATAAAAATTTAACAAAGAGGGAAGAAAGGGGTTAACATCCTTAAGATCCTAATCCCAATTCAATATAAATGGATCAACTCCAACCAGTAGATGTACTAGCAAATATAGTAAACATTCCTATAGCGATAATTTCATATCCTCTCCATTGTACCAGATTGTCATATAGTCAAATTGCAAACCATCGGAACACTTCATAAAAACAAAGCTAAGCTCCTGTAAATCCTTCTCTAAATTATTTTTCAGTGAACAATTCTGCACATTCAGAGACGCATAGACCTTAGTCTTTGAGCAGTGGAACAAACAATTGATAGATGGGACATTACTTACTCAACTAAAATCTATATATCTAATTTATTCATTTATTATTGTATGTGATTAGATTGTAGCTTTCAAGTTGATAACCACCACCATTTTTAAGCCCTCAAGAAAAAATAAAATTTATACATGGTAGCCGTGCAAAGCTCCATTCAGTATCTTCATATATGAAGTACTTAAATTTTCAATCTGATAAATGCTGAGACCTATTTCCAATCAGTGCAGGCTGAGTTACTGTTCCTATTCTCTTCCAAAATAACAAGTAGCCATAAATAGCTGGGCTAAAAGAATGTTTATAAGAATCCAGCTTCAACAACTTCATTGATGGATAAAATGCTAGCAATAAGCCGCCTCCTTATGGACTATTTTGACTTGTACAACATACTGTTTACAATAAACCACCCTTATCTCCCTTTACTTTAAGGTAACAACAGAGATCATTTGGCTACTTCTTGAAATTACAGACATTACCATTTAGTATCCGACGGTTAATATATTTTGAAGTTTTACAAATTTGCCAGGGCAATTTCTCTGAATTAGAGGGTAGGACATAATATTTCCAAGTAGTGGTCTGTTATTTCTAAACCCAGTTAGAAAGTGAATATACATATCAATAACCTAGAAAGAAGCTATTATTGTACATCAAAAGTGACAGCCATTGGTAATTTTTTTCCTTTCGTTAGTAAAAGAAAAAAATTACTATCGGAAAAAGTGTGAGACACGGATAAGCAGAGAGGTGGAGTGGAGGGGACAACCTTGGCCAACGAAGAAATTTTTCTTTGAAATATAATTGCTGAAAAGTAACTTGAAATAATTGCCAAATAATAAGAATCTTGCTAAGGAAAGATATGGAAAGCTAGATGTTAGAATGGATTAGTTGAAAAAATGTTAAGGCTATATTGCTCTCAGTTAAGAATGCATAGGAGATGCTTGGATGCTTTATCAATAAGGACCTACTCCAATTCATATTTGTACACCTCCTCGACAAATGGTTAGAGGAGGTGGTGTTGATCCAATGCATAGGAGGAAAGTTCTAGACTGTCCCCACTCCTTTGACATATACACAAATAGAAATATATTTACAATCAAGAATTGCACATAAATTATGGATCACGTACTCTAAAATAATTTAAAACCTTCGGGATTCTTCACCAATCGCAAACCACACAAGAATGTGTACAAAATGCTTGGATACTTTATAAATAAGGCTTTACTCCTATTCAAACTTGTACACCTCCTGAATGGATGGTTTGAGGAGGTGGTGGAGATCAGGGGCAGAACCAGGGGTAGACAAAAAATAAAATAAAATTGGGCTGCTCAATGAATAAAAATAAATAAATAAATTTCCATATAATTTTTTAAGAGTAATTTGTTAATTCACACATTTAATAAAAGGAATTGGGATTGGGCCGCCGCTGGCTAAAGCCCAGGGAAAGCCCCCCTCTCTCTCTACACCTCTGGTGGAGATCCACTTGTCAGGAGGAGAGTAATAGAATGTTATTACCTCCTGCCATAAGTATCTCCACAATAGACAAGATAATTACAATGGAGAAGTGTAGATATATTCCAGCTCAAGTGTCTCAAATTGTTCCAAAATAATTTAACAACTTGAGGATTATTCTATTAGCCTCTGGCAAACCCACAGAAAGCAGCAAAAATTTGGATGCATAGCATTTCTCCTCTTTCTAAGTTGGCTACTCTCTCGTTGCCAATTACTAAGATCTCCTCCTCAAACAGCCACAACTTTCTGTGGTCCCTTCCATTTGATTAAGAATTGAGTGTTTGACAAGACTTCTAAGCACATACCACTCCACCTACCAAGATCTCTTCAAATCCCTTATAAAGGTAAAAAAGTTTTGTCGAAAAACATCCCGACAACAACATTCCGAACCGAATTAAATCGAATCGAAATCGAGCTATTTTTCTTAAGTTAAATATCTGAACGGGTATCTGAATCTAGAGTCGATTGATTTAGTTTGGTTCTTGGTTCTAGACCAAGAACCGAATAAGAATCGAATCTCCCTAATTTTTAAATTTTTTTATCTTAAATAAGTCAAATTATTTTATTTTTTAAAATAAATTTGCTAACTAATTAATTTAGTCCAACCCCAAAATATGATTTTACTATTTCTAATTTCCAACCAAGCATAACTCAATCAAATTGACCCAAGTTTTACCCAAATCTCTTATTCTACCGTAGTGTCGTTTCTGCCATTATATTATTATGAACTCGCTACCTTCCGCTTTCTGTGATTTTAATGGTCAAATCTATGAAGAACTCAACAAAAAAGGGCACAAAAGACATTACGAGATTGAACTACGTTATTTTGTAAGAGTTGAGATTGAACGTGTCATAGTCTAATTAATGTAGCATTGTTGTAAATATAAAAAAAAAAATTAATTATTGTACGAAAGCCGATGATTGAATAGAACGGTTCTATAATTAAATTTGGATTTGACGATTTCATTTACTAAATAACCGAATTTGAATCGAGAATCGATGAGTTTGGTTCGATTTTCGATTCTAGATCAAGAATCGAATAAGAACCGAATCTATTTAATTTTTTTTAATTTTTTATCTTAAATAAATCAAATTATTTTATTTTTTTAAATAAATTTGCTAACTAATTAATTTAGTCCAACCCCAAAATATGATTTTACTATTTCTGATTTCCAGCCAAGCATAACTCAATCAAATTGACCTAAGTTTTACCCAAATCTCTTATTCTACCGTAGTGTCATTTCTGCCATTATATTATTATGAACTCGCTACCTTCCGCTTTCTGTGATTTTAACAGTCAAATCTATGAAGAACTCAGCAAAAAAGGGCACAAAAGGCATTACGAGATTGGACTACGTTATTTTGTAAGAGTTGAGATTGAACGTGTCATAGTCTAATTAATGTAGCATTGTTGTAAATAAAAAAAACAAATTAATTATTGTACGAAACCCGATGATTGAATAGAACGGTTCTATAATTAAATTTGGATTCGACGATTTCATTTACTAAATAACCGAAAATCCAGGTTTGGTTCGGTTCTCTTTAGAACCTAACCAAACCAGACCATGTCCAACCCTAATTTTTTGTAAGAAAGATGGGACATATGTCATGCTGCAACAAGAATATTGTTTGGTCAACAAGGAATAGTGGTGAGACCTCAAAAGTAAGCAAAATTCTTAAATAGTTAGTTGGTTTTTTGTTTTAGATTTCTAGTTCTAGTAGTGGATAAGTTCTCTTATGTAATTCTATTTCATCAATATATTATTTGCTACTTTGTTGATCCATTTTATGTTTCTACTTGCAAACCAAACTTTCAATTTTGTTGAAATGTTTTGGTATTGATTTTTGGATAATTTTTAGTGAATTAGTACAGACTGAATAGTTTTATATATTTTTTAGTTTTTATAATCATTTTATAGATTTATGTGGGGCTGATGCCTTTCATTTTTGCCTCCATACATGACTACCTGTTTAGACACTAAAGAGATATGGTATGCAATAGTTGGAAGAAATGATAAGTCCAATCTTATAACCTGATGCTGTGCCCTAATAATCGATAATAGTTTACTTATTACCCCTAACCTTCTAAAACCAGCACATAGACTAGTGTTAAACTTCTTCAGAAAAGCCACTTTGTACAGTATCAAATGCTCACCATCACAAAATAGCCAATGAGTGGCATAAGACCCTTTCAATTAGGACCTATAAGGATCCCAATACATTGGAATTGATTGGATCTCCCTGATCTTTTTCAGCAATGTTTTAAACTAAACTTAATTTCAAATATATTTAATGATACTTGGCTGGTGTCCCATGACTTGTGAGTCATAATTCATGCCTACATTGTCTTAAGAATGCAATCGTTTCAATATCCATTTTTCGTTTTCAATATGCTTATCTTACTTCATTGTGTCATGTTTCTACATCCCTTTATTTCTATGAATAGCTGAACATAGATGATGAGAGAGTCCATATCTGGCTACAGATTGATCATCAATCAGGAGAAGTTTCCCCCAGGTGAAAAGAGATGGAAATTTATTATATTGGTCCAAGATTCACCTATATAGACGAGTTTTACAATATTTCATTCAAGGCGAAATAGAGACAAATCAACGTATTAAATTAGTCTTGGTACAAACGAGAAAATCAATCAAAGAATATTCCTCTTTTCACACCAAATAGAATTAAGATTTAAAACTCCTCAACAGGTAAACATCAAAAATGGGAAAACAGTTAAGACAAAACTGTTCAATCAAAAAGTAAACAGTGAGAGACTGAGAACACTGAGCCAAAAAGTTTGAAGATGCATGATGAGATTGCAAAAGACAATCAACAATTCATCTCCTTTTTCAACTTGATTCACCGAACATAATGTAAATGTTTCTCTTGAACTTGTAATTCTGATAACCACTGAAAAACTGAAGGCCTATGAAAAGCTTCAAAATAACAAGAATGCAACACAGAAATTCTTAGAAACTGCTTTTGTAGGGGTGTCTGGGAATGCATATCTTGGTTCGTTGGTACTTGATAATAAAAGCAATAACTTGATTTCTAGTAGTGTCTAAACATTTCAAATTAGAGCCCAAGACCTAGCTGGAGAAGATCTCCTGGAGCCTATAAATTTCCATGAATTGGTCTCAAACAGAAAGTGCTTAGAATCTTTATTTTCTTGGGGACTTTTTAGACTTCCTTGGGCTATGTGATGCAATTTATACCAGGTTGGATTCCACGAGATTTTATGTTTGATAACTAGGCTATATGTTTTTCCAGCCAATAATCTTTCTTTAATTTCAACAAGCTCCAACTGCCCCATATCATTAAAACAATTTATTTAATATTTAACACTTAAATCATGACTAGTTCACAGCAATAAACCCCTCATGTTTTCTTTATAAATTTAGTCCTGGTTATCAACTTATCTATCCCTGCCCTCACCTCTACCCTGAAGCAAATCCTACTAGTTACTGGCAGTCTGGCACCAATCAGGCCTTGGACATATTAGACTCTCTTCAGCAATTACATTTTGCTTTTTCTTCAATCTTCTACCAACTACATGACTGTAAATATAATTTTTCTTTAAATGCAGGCACATTGTTGTTCGTGTCCTCACTCTCCACTAAGTTCATCTGCATCTCTCCTGCCAGAATCTTCTAATAAGCCCCCGTTTGACACACATTCTTTCAAAATATATTATTTCAAAACTCATTTTCAACCAAACATTCTTCAACAAAATAATATTTTCCATCACATCAATAACTTTTTTTTACTTTTTAACCATATATTTCCCATCATATCACTATTTAAAATACATTATTTCCTCAATAATATCCATTAAACACCCCCTAATAAAGATTGTTTAATAAAATAATACATATAAATAACTTTCTGGTGAAACACTCAACAAATCAATAAAATGCATTTACTACTATAATTTAATTAACAGAAATACGTGAATTGATTAAAGGAAATATATACAGTTAATTAATCAAGTATAACATACTTGTTTGAAAGGTTAAACGGACAGCTTACCTCTATCAATCTGTCTCTAGGTACCACCATCACTGCCGACATAACCAGGAGAAATTTGAGATGTGACACCAGAGGGCACATTGCCAAGCCCATAACCAAATGAACCAGATCCCTGTTGATCAGAATTTGCAGAATTCCATGTAGGGTCTAGATAACCCAAATTACTATCATACAGATCAGCAAAAGCCTCATCATAGTTGTCATTTGATGCAGCATATGATAAGGTTGGGGCCCTACTTGTTGAAATATTTCTTCCATAGCCTCTCCCTGCCAAACCATAAGTATTATCACCACCTCCATAACCAAAATTTCCAGTTTGGCTTGGAACATTCTGTCCACCTTGTGGTGAAAATGGATGAGTACTCCAAACTCCACTGTTTCCAAAAGTTCCTCCCCCAATGTTCCCACTCCCAGATTCCACATAATTACTAGAACCAGCAGAGTTTGTTCCATAATTAAGCCCTACATTACCCCATAAATTTCGGGTACCTGTACCTGAACTGAAAAAAGAGGAATTTCCTTCATTCCCACCATCAAACCGAACGGAATTGTCAAATCTATTTGAGTTTGAATTAACATAATAAGGGTTCAGTGACCGCCCATAGTTAAGAGAACTATTAAAATTCTCACTTCCTCCATAAGCTGGGCCTAACCCAGGTTCATAATTCAGCCCCAGATCATAGTCAGAAGTAAATGGAGAAAAATTGCTTCTCCCACCAGCAATTGGACTGAATCTACTGTCCATCCTGACTCCATATCCTCCCATTGTACTTGGAGAGTATCCCTGAGGATAGCCATTAAGAAAGCTATTGAACCTACCTACTCCATAGGTATATCCACCAAGAGGGCTTCGGCTAGGACTAGGCGATAACTCTTTGGGGACTGCACGCTTGACCTCAACCATCTTACCATTCAGCTCGTGAAATGTCTTGAGCAAGACTTTGTCTACTGCATCTTCGGAATCATAAGTGATAAATCCAAACCCTCTAGGCCTTTGAGTGTTGTGATCATACATCACCACAACATCTGTGATTGTACCAAACTGCTCAAAATACTTCTTAAAGTCACCCTCTGTAACTGTGGATGCTAAACCTCCCACAAAAATCTTTTTTGTTTGACCTGAACCAGGAGAATCCTGAATGCGACTACTGTTTCTACTCCCTGTGCTCTGATCATCCCTAGGAACAGCCTTCTTTGCCTCGACCTAAAAAAAGGGATTCTTAATAATGATAAATAAGTTTAAAGTATGAACAATTTTAAAAATGAGTTTTTCAGCCAAAATTTCAACTAGAATATAAAGAAGGAAAAACTTGTGGTTGCAAAATCTATAATAACAGAAATGTATAGTGAAAATAAGGGAAGAAAATCAAGTTCCTCTGGCTAAAAACACAAGGGCATAATATTTCTAACCACATTTCACTCAATTTCATAGCTAGATACTTCAAACTTTAGATAAAAAATGAAATTTAACAATACAAGCTACTTACAATCAGTCTCATGTTTTCTTCTTATAACAGTTCAGAGATAATATCACTCATTTTCATCTTCTTTTGACTTATTTAGGAGAAGAAGAATAGAAAACGGAAGGATATATGCAAGATCCCAGGATGCAACAACTTTGATGATACCTCAACGAAGAACTCAACAAATGCAAATGACATACCATCCTGCCATCAATTTTGTGCTTATCCTTAATGACTCTCTCAGCAACAGCAGGATCAGCAAAAACAACAAAACCGAAACCACGAGCACGTCCCGTGGAGCGATCCTTCATAATTACAGCTTCCAGAACATCTCCATATACACCAAAATATTCTTTGAGTCGTTCTTCAGTTGTGTCCCATGAAATCCCACCAACAAATAATTTGCCAAGGTCAGACTGCATCATTTTAGAATTCTGAAGTAATTCCAAAATCTGCATTTACAATCACCACTACTAAAGTCAGTTCGATACAATAGCCAACTATTTCTGTAATTCAACAAATAATCAGATTATCAAGAGCTGATCCAACAAATAGCACAGAGCTCCACTAAAATGAAACCAAAAAAAGCCAGCAAAATTACATCAAAAATCACTATCCCATTCCAGATTCCACAAAATAAAATGCAGATAGAAATGGAGAATCAAACACTAAATGAAAAAACATAAAAGGACATACCTTGAGTATGAAGAACTAAAAATATCAAATTATCCAATAGCAAAGGACTATAATTATCAGATTCTATCGAAAATTATTGGATCCTTAGATGATCAATCCAATCAGAGCCCCCTGAAAACAATTAAAAAAGAGAAAAATAACCCATCAGAGAAATCAGCCATCGAACTTATTTAGATAAATATCAGACTACACAATATCTAGAAAATCTTGAATACCCAAATCAAAGTTTTCACTTTTCACCGATTGGAGAAATATCGTTAAGATCTGAGAGGAGGCAACTGTAAGAATCGAGGGCAATGTTCTTCCTCCTCTATATATATTGCCCCCAACTCTCTCTTTTTTTCTTTTACTTTCTTTCCTACTTTCCAACCCAAAAAAAGGGTCAATTTTTTTTATTTTTTATTTTTAGCTACAATACGTTTACACAGGAATTTTAATTTATTAACGTTAATTAAATTTATTTTCCAAAATAATTTTTTTGGGAAGAAGAAGAAGAAAGAGTTACAATGCGGCAAGGAGAGAGGAAAATTTGTTTTAGGCAAGGACAATGGAGAGAGGTAGTAGTATGTATTAAACTTTGGAGCTCCTATATACTTAGTGGGAAAATACCATGGACACGCATGCAAGCTTTGATCTATGTATGGACCCCACTGTTTGGGTGAGCCGTGGTTAACCTATGGACTATAAATTTTGACAATTGTTTTCATTTTTTTTCCATTTTTGCCCTCATGTCCTTTTTTTTTTTTTTTTCTTCCCCTTTTTGGTAAGTTTATATTTTTGTTCTTTTCTTTTTGGAGAACTTATAAATTAGGGTGTTTAAATTTTTTGTGAAATAAAATAAGAAGAAAGGAGAGATCATGGTTTATGATATAGAATATTGAATAAAAACTCAATTTGATTTGCAAAAACAAAAGGATCGGGAGAATATTTAGATTTTTTTTTTATCATTATTTCATTTGAATTTACATTTTGATCATTAGCTCGACAATTGAATTGAACTAATGACTCGATGGCCCAGTCACTCGGTTCAATCCATAACTATTTCAGGTGTGAAAATATGCTCTTGAATTCTTAAGAGTTAAATCATATTTGTATATATTCTTCTACAATGAAATTGCTTGATTTTTGTAATTGAAATTGATCTCCTGCTTTCAATGGAAAGAATAAAAAATCTCACTAATGGTATCTTCTTTTGTCATATCAGCAGTGAAATTTTTTTATCTTATCCACTGAGAGTAGGAGATTAGGGTTGTTTTGTAATTGTCTTGAATTGTAAAAGTTATTACTCATTAGCATAGATGTAGATGAATGGGTTGTGAATTTAGAAGGTAAGGTTTATGTCCCCTTCGTGCATTTCTTCCGAGTAAGTGTAAAAAATTTACCCGTATCTAAAAGGATTCTGCAGCATATTACACCATGCAAGACAAAACAAAATATTATAATATGACTAAAGCATAACGTTGGATCATGTAAAATACAACTGAAACAGAACTTATGACTAAAGCATAACGAAGGCAGGATCACCATTGGAAGATGATAGATTAAACTGAAGGTTTTGAGACAATAGGTTTTTGGGGATTTATTGGGAATGGAAATTGATTCATTGAGGACTGAAGCTACAGCTCTTCAGGGGAAAGGTCAATGGCTTCCTTCCTTCAGCTCAGACTGCTGAGAGAAAGGAAAGAGAGGTTGAGATTTGGCTGAGCGAATTAGAAGGTGGTGCTAATTTTTGGTTGCAAACAGCCGGCTGCAGTGGTGGCCATTTTTGTACCTCGTGCAAACGCATGCACGTCAATTTATTTACCGTAAAAATTATTGTGGAAGCGATAAATCTCTCCCCATCTAAATATAATAATTGGAGGTTTTTTTTTTTTTTTCCTGTTATTTGTTTTTTCGTAACCTCAAGTCAAATCATTCACACTATCAAAAATTAATAAGTGAATTTAAATGGACAGGACAACAGATTTTGGTCACCTTCGTTCTTATCCATCTAACACTTAAAAAGAAAATATACTCTTAACGTGCAAAGACGGCCTCTTCTTGGAGGACGGTCAAGTATGTAGTTGTTAGAAGATTATAAAAACTAAACTTACAAGACAAGTAAAGAGGATATCAAATAAGCAAGAATTTGGCTAGAGCTTTGACTTCGTACATTTTTCCCATACCCAGGTTGTATGCATGGAGCAACTAAATCGTGTGAACGGAGTGTAACTAAGGCATTGTGATATACATATTGCTTCGGGATCTTAGATGTGAATCTCATATTTGCTTATATTTTTGACCTCTCAAGAACCATTTTTGTTGGCCCGTAATTCATATAATACAACTAATCTCAACTACTAACAAAAGAAATAACAAACCCACTTGTGTAGTAATTAGTGCATTACATTGCCTAGAATCAAGCCATGTGGCGAGGCAGATGAGACTTGCGCCTTAGGCCCAAAACTGGAGGGGCCTATTTTTTGCTTGGTTTTTTTTTTTGCAATCAGGCCCAATACCGAATGGGCCTCATCTTTGGCCCAATTATAATTCTTTTTTTTTTTTTTTTAATTACGAAATGGAAAACCAATTTTCATTATCTCCTTCAGCCCAACCCCAACCACAACACTGACGTTGTCTCTTCTCCACTGACGACCAGTCGAGCTCGTCCCTGCGACTCCTCAAGTCCTCCTTCCCTTCACTCTTTCACAAACCACGAGTTTCACACATTTCACAACTTTTTTCGACCCCGCCACGCAACGCCGCGACTCCTCAATCCTCTAGCCAATCGATAATCCACAGTTGAACTTTGAAAAAAAACCCACATAAAAAATTGAAGAAAATAAAGTCTTTTTGAATATATTGGAAATGTTTGAAACCTTGTAGGTTTATATAATTGTGGCATGGTCGGCTTATATGATTGGTTATTGTATGTGAACAATTGCACAGGTACACGTAGTAACTATATTGAAAACTTTAATTATGAGATGATTAAGATATTTTGTAATTGTCTTTTAGACTAATCGTTGGGCATTAAATATAGACTCATGCACCATGTCTCCTAAATATGAGTCAGAGCTCTAAAGAGAAAAAGGAAACGAAATGAAATTGCATTGACTCAAAGTCAAGCAAGGGATATTGATAAGTATTTTAAAAGCAACAATGTGATTGCGTTGAACGAGGACGAAGAAGTGATGAAACCTGCATGTGTTAATGAAGTGGATGATAAGGAAGAAGAAGTGATGACACCTGCCTATGTTAATGAAGTGGATGATAAAGAAGAAAAAGTGACGAAACTTGCATGTGTGAATGAAGTGGATGATAAGGAAGAAAAGGGTTGCTTATCTTTGAATTTGGATGATCCCGAGAATTAGAAAATTGGTGATCAAAGAACGATAAATTATTAAGTTGAAATGAGTCCAAAAAGAGTTTATGGCATCTTATTTCACAAAGATTGTACAAATAGACATTTTGATTCTTCACAATAAAAGCGAGTGCTACCAAATAAGCAAATAATTGATAGAAAATGGCTAATATATTCAGTATCCGCGGACAATATCTTCAACTTTCGGTGCAAGTTGTTTAAAACACCAAAAAATGTCACCAAAATTGGCTAATTGGGTAATGATGGATTAAATATTGGCATAATTTACATCGGTCTATTAAAAGTCATGAAGGAAATAAGGAGTATTTATGTTGCATGACTAGTTGGATTGAATTGGAAAATAGAGTTTGAACAAAAACTACAATTGATAAAAATGTTCGACTGGTTATAGATGCAAAAGAGAACATTGGAGACGTCTGTTAACGAGGATAATCGTTATTATGAAAAGACTTGCCAAAAACACCGTGCCATTTCGAGGAGATAATGAGAGGCTACATGTTAAGAACAATGGCCTATTTTTACAAATGGTGGAAATGGTTAGTGAGTTTGATATAACAGCTTGCCATTTCGAGGAGATAATGAGAGGCTAGAGGCTGAGAACAATGGCCTATTTTTACACATGGTGGAAATGGTTAGTGAGTTTGATCTAGTAATACAAGAGCACATTCGACGGGCTAAGCACATGAGATTTGGTATACATGTCTTGGCAAAACAATTCAGAATGAGCTAATACAGTTGTTGGCTAATGAGGTGAGAAGTTCGATCATGAAGAAAGTTCAACATGCAAAATACTTCACAGTTATACTTGATTGTTTTCCAAATGCAAGTCACAAGGAGCAAATGTCTTAGTATTACGATGTGTTGATGATTCAACAGACTTACCTACAATCAAAGAATATTGACTTGAATTTTTGAAGGTAGATGACACAATAGGACTTGGACTTGCAATCGAGCTTCAAAAGGTTTTGATCAAACTTCATTTTGATATTGATGATATTAGAGGGCAAGAGTATGACAACGGATAACATGAGCGGCAAGCACAGATGTTTGTACAGAAAAGTACTTGAAATGAATCCCCGAACTTTTTATACTCCATGTGACGTTCATAGTTTGAATCTAGCATTAGGTGATATGATGAATTGTTATTCTAAAATTGTATCCTTCTTTGGAGTGATCCAAGGCATCTACACATTGTTTTCCTCTTCTATCAAATGATGAAATTTTTTCAAAGATAATGTACGTGGTTTGATAGTGAAACCATTGTAACAAACACGTTGGGAAAGTCATGTCGAGAGCGTGAAGCCTACAATAGAGTAAATTGCACAAATAAGAGGTGTTTTACTTGATTTGGCAAAAAGTAACGAAGAGCATAAAGTAAAGAGTAAAGCCGAGTCATTAGCAACATATGAACTTCAGAATTTTGAGTTCTTGCTTGACATGATAATTTGGTACATATTGTTACATGCAGTTAATATTGTAAGTAATTTTGTTTCAAATCGAAAATATGGATATTGATCATGCTATTGACCTCTTGAAATGACTTGTTTCATTTCTTGAAGATTATAGAGAAATTGAATTTGCTATTGTCATGAATGAAGTGACAAAAAAGGCAAGCGAAATGAGAATTGAAGCTGTATTTCGATAAAAACACATAATTTGAAGAAAAAACAATTTGATGAAAGTGGAAGTGATTAAGTAAAGCAATCAACTGTAGAATCTTTTAGAATTGAATACCTTATTTTTATAATTGATCAAGCTCTATCTTTTCTAATTACTCGATTTGAACAATTCAAATAATATGATGACACATTTGATTTTTTTTTTTTTTTTTTTTGTTTAATTTGAAGAGGTTAAGGGGTGCAACTCATCAATTTTGTTGAACTCTTGTATGAATCTTGAGAAATAACTGGAACATAATGGGCGTTTGAACATTAGTGATGATGATTTATGTTCGGAGTTACAAGTTTTGATGTGCTATATACCAAGTGAAACAACGAGAGCAATTGAAGTATTACAATATTTGAAAACATTGAATGTTTATTTCTCAAATGATTATATTATTTATAAAATATCGTTAACTATATTTGTTATAGTTGTATCTGTAAAAAGAAGTTTCTCTAAATTGAAGTTGATCAAAATTTACCTCCGATCAACTATGTCAAGAAAAAGATTGAATGAATTAACTATATTATCAATAGATAAAGATATGGTTAAATAGCTAAAGTATTCAGATTTAATTAATATTTTTGCCTCTAAAACAACAAGGCGAATAGTTTGAACTCTCGTCGATTTTGTTATTTTACAAGATAAATATTGTGTTCTTTATATTTGTTTGTTGGTTTACTATTAAGTTTTAAATTAGGAATAAGTTGCATAATAAACTGTTGGATTTTGCATTTACGTTGATTTTGGGGGGGGCTAATTTATGGATCTCGTCTCGAGCCCGAAAATCACATGACCGGCTCTGCCTAGAATGCAGAGTGCTTGGATTTAACCTCTTATTTGAAAATTATATTGATATTAGCTTTGAAATGCAAAGGAAAGTGTATTTGTCTTTTATTCTCTATACTTTTCCAATATTCTCTCGTGTAAGCTGTAATTTTCTTGAATAAGGAGGACGGAAAAAGCTATTCAAGAATCTTAGCTTTCTCAATTAATTTCAAAATTAGCAACGTGGTATAAATAAACTTCTAGTAAACGTATTTGGGGTAGAAAATGAGAAAGAAAGATGTCCAATCGATGTAGTAAAAGTTGGTCACATTTAAAAAGACTCGAAATAACCTTCAAGATTTCCACTATTTTCAACTTTTCTTAGCATAATGGACTGTCTAACTTGGACTAGCAAATTCCCGAGATAAAATGTTTCATTGGTCAATGAACTTTGCACCATGTCATGCTTTACTCACCAAGCTTTCAAAATTGTCCCATTAAAAACTGAACTTTATTCCGTCAATGTCCATTACTTACCGGATTGAATCTGTTAATAAATGTGCTGATGTGGCTGGCGAAAAATTAAGGTGACAAGTTAAATTCATACAAATATAAAATGTTTGCCAACTCAACACCACGTCATCTAACTGGAAGTCAAATAGATATACAAATTTCATGGAACACCATATGACAAAATCAAAATTCATCGTCACGACGAAGCTTGAAGTCAATGTTTAATTGCTATCTCAAATCTCTCAAACCTTAAGGCCATGTTTAATTGCTCTTTCTTTTCCATGGAAGATGGAAATTAAAATTCATTTCCACTTTTTTACATGCTTGATTGACTAAATTTTTCATGGAATTTGTTTTCATATTTTCTTTGTTTTTGAGGAAAACATTTTCCCATGGGTTTGGTGGGAAAAGCTTTTCTAGACATTTTTTTTTTTTTTGGGCAATTGAAACAAATTCTATTACCAATTTTAACAAATTTTATCCATTTAATGGATAATTTTCAGGGAAAATAAAGTCAAACAAATACCAACAGATTCAAAATTTCAATATTTTCCAGTGGTAAATTATATCAATCAAACATAATTAATTGACAATTCTCAATAAAAATAAGTAATAGGTACTTAAATTTTCTGGAATTCATTTTCTTTCTACTTAAATTATATTTTCGCAATCAAACAGACCCTACTGAATGAATGAAGAAGAAGAAGACGGAAATTCCCAAACTGATTGGCCAAGCTCCATCCCTAAATCCCCCAAATAGCTATGAAATTTGCCCAAGCTCCCCCTAAACCCTAAGCCTCAAATTCTCCAAATCCCTCAAAACCCGAAGCGCCAAATAAATAAAATCAATTACCCAAACGAGGATGCCAAATCATATCTCAAGTAAGAAAATAAATAAAATCAATTTCCATCTCTTGTTGGAAACGCCGACGTGTTGCGAAGGTGAATTTCATCTC